AGGTGTCCCGATATGGTGCCGGTTGAACATTACCGGTGCCCGGTGCAGTGCCGCGCACATCTATGGGCACGACTGTCCACTCCTTTTCTATCCTATACATCCCTGTTCTCAATATTACGGGTAGTATTGTGCCGGTCCAACCTCTGGGCACATATCGGCACTCTTTCGGGACATGTGCGCACAGCCATAGGCAGAGAGAGGCAAGGAAGGGATCGATTCACACAGTCTGTCTACCAATGTTTGTATATATCACTGTTGATGTTTTCGTTCGTGTTTATATATCACTCTGTTGATGGATGATGGTTGATGATTTCACTTGGCAAGGAGACGAGTGAGGGCCTGTTACAGGTTCAATGCGAAAGGGGAATACGACTGGTTGAGCCTCGATGACCTTCAGCACCCCTACCCAACGCAGTCTGGGTCAAGGTTCCAAACTATCCAGAATAGATTATTGGTTTGCCTTGTTCCTGTCGGCCTACTGCGGTTGTCTCCGAAGGACCCTCCCTGCTTGGCTCGTTGGGTTCGTCTGGCGGGTGCGGAATCCTGCCCTATGCGGCTACAGGGCAGCTTGCGCGCGTTTGTGCGTGCTCGGGATATTCATGGCCCAATGAGGACACGGCGACTGTTTCTCTTATCACCTTGTCGATGATATTACTCGCAGAGGTTGCGCAAGAAAGGGGGAGAGGGAAGCCCTCCATACGCCCCCCTGTGGCCAGGTTTGGTGGTGACTGGGACGCCTTTTGGACATGCATACGTGCGACAAGGGCGGTAAAGTCCCAGCGAGGGACAACAAAAACGATTCAGGCACTTCGTCCAGTCTGGGGCTGACTTTGGCGTTGGCCGCTGCGTGTGCTTGTTGCTCTCTTTCTGTTGACCCCCGTGTTTTTTCCCCCGTTTCTTCAGGCGCTAGAAAAGTCAGAATCGGCGGCGGCATCCATGTCCGCCGCAAAACAAGACGACCAGGCAGACGAGGTAAAGCGTGTTCTAGCACTGCTTACGGTGTGCTCGAACCCTCGTGTGTTGTTGCCGATGTCCCTGTGCGTGCGCTCGATCGGATCTGACGTCGTCGGTACTGGGCGCACCGTAGAATGGATGATGCTGCTGTCACCCATTTCCCGTGTGTTGGGGCATGTGCCATCCTGATGTCGCCCTCGCGGGGTGGTAAAGAGCAGAGGCGGGAGGGGGCGGGGGGCGACAAAGTTCGTCCACTAATGTCTCATTTAAAAAGAAAGTGCACTTTGTTTGGCTGGTACACGTGGACAGCGACAGAGGCAGAGGCAGAGACAGAGCGAGACAGAGAGACAGAGTTAACGCGAGTGTTGCTGTGATGGCCGACAGCAGCACTGGCCAGCCGAAGTCCGGAGCCCATCCGGCCCATTCGACCCACCGATTGAAAAGCAAGCGCCCGGCTGCCGCCGTGACCAGCTCGAGCGACGAGCTTCGAAAACACCGTTTCGGTTCGTTCCGACTATCCCGACTATCCCGGACTCGACGTTGATATTAACACGCGCTTGTGCTTATGGCTTGCGTTTGGGACGTGGTGCCGCCTTGACGGCTGCTGTCTTGCACGTGCAGGAGGGGACGAAGGACCAGCTGCTGGAGATGATGAGCCTGCTCAAGGAGGCCGAAGCGGCGAAGCAAGCGGTGAGAGGAGATGGATGCCACCGGGGAGGCGGGTCCCGCAGAATGCTGATGGGGGTGGTGGAGGGTGTAACGAAAGGGGTCCCGTACGCTCGGGCTCGGTAACACGGGGTGCAGCGCTCCCACTCCTTGAAGTGCTTGCCTTCCTTCCCTCTGGAGGTGGATGCCACCGGGGTGGGCAAGAGGGCTCGCGGAGCCGAATCCTGGAAGCACTGCCCCAAACTGGATTAAGGACCAGATCGGGGGGGGGGGGGGGGGGGGGGGAGGATGTNGGGGGGGGGGGGCTGTTCTCCACCGTATACGGTGTTTCAACTAGGATGTAGCATGGTAAAGTATAACCTATACATCGTCTATTGTAAAGGATTTAGAATGGGTATGCATATGTATCGGCATTATCACTATAAAGTATCATGGTACACAGCAGCATTAGTAGTAGTGGGCCCTGTGTATAGTGTAACCATGGTAGTGTATAGTGACGGTTGAATAGCGCCACAGCAGTCCGCTGTCGTGCCGATCAAATCTCAGGGCACATGATGATGGGTGTGTCCACTCCATCCACCGCCGCCGTGTACATATATATATATCCGTCCATCCCTGTTCTGAATAGTGCCGGTGGCCCGGTATAGTGCCGGTACAAGCTCTAACACAGGGCCCACTAGAATAGTGCTTCATGCAGTACACACACACGCGTCCAACTAAGCAATGTGTTTAGTTTGTACACGACGATACTAAAGCCAATACACTAAGGAATGGAGGCTTTCCTATACGATGCTAAATCCTATACAATAAGCCAATTGGACAATATAGATTAAGCGCCCGAAGAAATGAGGGTGAAGGGGGGGGGGGAGGGTAGCAGCGCTTCCAGGATTCGGCTCCGCGAGCCTTTGTGGGGTGGGCGGGGGGGGGTCCCGCAGAGTGCCAGTGGGGGTGGTGGTGCATTGTGTGAAGAGGGGGTCCCGTGCGGTCATGCTGGGTGACACGGGGTGCAGCTTTTCCACTGCTTTGTGAAGTGCTTGCGTGCTCCTTTCTGCCCCCGTTCCTTACTTTGTTGCGGAATGATCCTTCGTCCCTTGTTGAATTAACCCGGGCCATCCACCGACCGAAATGCTTTTTGTGATGGTGCAGGCGCAGGACGAGCTTGCCGGCAAGGACGAGAAGATCGAAGAGGTACGTTGGGCAGGACTGCTCAAAGATGCAGGCGGGAGAGTCTCTTTGCTGATTTTGCCTAGGAGCTTGACAGTGTACGAAATTTTTCTAAACAGTAGGAGCACCCTGGGCTTTTTCGTTTGTCTTCCTTGAGAATTGGGCGTTGCATCATAGCTTGCACGCCGGCGACGTGGCGGCATGAGTTCACAACAGAAGGGTTGACATTTGTTACGTCTGACAGCCTGCTTATAGTTTTTTTTATTGGTGAGTTCGACAGCAGTGCAACAAGGTTGCGGTATGATTTCAGAGCAGGAGCGAATCTGTGCAAGAAGATGCCCCAGTGAGCCGAACCGCACCCGGCTGGAATTCGCACATCTACAATACTGCATGTACGAAGGGCAAGCGGTTGTACGTTCAGCCGAGACTAAAAGGAGGGGACGTGATCTCTAGGCTACGCGTTGTGCTTGGTATCGTAAAGAACGGATGCCGCTCTCTGGCTACATGTTTCACTACGGTGGGACGCATCTTGAAATGTACTGTATGGTCCACTTCTGAGGGGAACACAATTAATGGATGCTGCCTTTTGGCCGCGGTCGCCCCAACAGCCCGGCGTACAAAGTTAATCGGGCCTCGCGGCTAAGGAATGTAATGCCAACTTCTTTCTTTCTTTTCGTTCTCTGCTATATCGAGTAGCTAGAGGCGAGGGTTCTTGCGTCTTCATCGTCCTCCGCTCCCAACGGGACCGCCAACATCGGCGGCTTGCATCGCGACTCCGGGTACACCGCGGAAGGTGGTGCCGCGAGGTCTTTGGCAGGGGACGGGGAAGCCGAGGGTGGAGCGGCTGCCGCGGAGGCGGAGGCCAACGGGGGGGAGGATCTGTCGGCGAAGGTCGCGACGTTGCAGGCGGAGGTGGGTGCAACGTTGTTTTTGTCTGCGATGATTTACCCTCGGATTTGTCTTGTCTTGTGTTGTTGTTGTTGTTCCTTCTCGGTCGTCCTGTCGTCTTGGTCACTCTCACTCTCACTTTCACTCTTAGTCGCTGTCACCCTCGTTCTCGATCTCTTATTCACTGTCACTCTTAGTTTCACTCCCACCCTCTTTTCGTGGTGTCACATGTGACCCCGGTTGGGTCGTCTAGCTGGTAGAAGTGGAGGATAGGGCCCAGAGGGGCAGACGACAGTCCAATGATGGGTGAAAACATAAAAATGTATGCACACAAGCATAGGTGTTAGGTTTGGGGTATGTTTTCGTTTCATCCGGCTGAATATGTTTTTCGAGCCACAGTGCCTTGTCCTTTACGATCGGATCAAGAGACAGAAAGAAAAAGGGAGCGACAGTGAAAGTCGTAGAGAGACAGTAGACAACAGTGCACCTTTGTTGCCGCGCCTGACTGCTTGTGTATGCCTCATTTTGTGCGTGCATCTATTCCTGTGTGTGCCTTCATCTTCATCCTCCAGCGTGCATCCTAGTTGAGCGTTGCACCAGTGCGCGTGTGAACTGTTTCGGTTGGTGCGTGCGTCTACGGTATCCCTGTGCGCGCGTCTATGTGCTGGTTGTCTTGCAAAATTAACAGCTGGACGACATGCACGCCATGTTGGACAATGTGTCTGCCGAGAGGGACGCGGCCCTGGTAGGGTCTCCAGCGGCGGCGGCGAATGGGGAAGACTTGCCTGCCAAGATAAAGACGATGCAGGCGGAGGTGGGTTAATGGTTCGCAAAGCCCAGCAGCCAGAACAAAACAAACTAGAATTTTGGTTCTTCTTGTTGCACTGGGCTGTTCCAGCGGAATCGAAAACACGTCAGCTGTGTGTGAGCGTGGGACACGTCGCGCCGTCGGCTGTGAATTGGGCATGCTGCCTGCGTTTTCTTTCGTCCTGTGTACATCACCCCTGATGACACTGCTCTGCTTTCCTAAACCCACGTCGGAGGGATCACTTGTGCTGCCACCCAGAGATGGTACTCCTACACAGCAGAAACACCTACGGTCGATATTGGCGTAATTTCAATATCAGCAACAGCAGCGCATAGCAGGACATACGTCACGAAGTTGCATGCACCAGGGTGCGCGTCGGCGTTTTCACTAACTCTGCGCTTCATGATACCGGCCGCACGGCGCGGATCTAGTCCGTCTACATCTTCCGACTTCGATCGTCCATGCGTTCATACGTGTGTCTCCAAACCACCGTTTCTCTCGGTCGGAGTTGATCATCGTTGACAACCTCACGCGCGATGCGCTGGGTGTATCATAGGTAGATTCGTCTGTCAGTTTCTCTCGTTCGTACTTTTTTTTTTTTCTCGTTCGGTGGATATTCGCTTTCTGCGCCTGCTGCGACTACCGCTCGGAAGCTACGCAGCACCGAGGCCCACGGCCTTGCACTGCGATCGCGAACAGGACAACGTTCCTCCCGCTGTTGACTCCCGACAACTAACAGCTCGTCCCACGCGTGTCGATCAATTCTGCTGCCCCCTCCCGTTCTGCTGCTGCTGCTGCTGCTGCTGCTCCTGCTGCTGCTGCTGCTGCTGCTGCTGCTGCTGCTGCTGCTGCTTCCGCTGGGAATAAATCGAAACCGCAGCTGGACGACGTACACGCAATGCTGAACAACGTGTCCGCCGAGAGGGACGCCGCCCTCAACGACCTCCGACGGGCGGGCGGCGTGAGAGAAGCCGCCCGCAGGGGCGGCAGCGCCGACGACTTGACAAGCGGGGAGGCCGGGTCCGAGGAAGAGGTGCTGCGGCTGAGGCGCGACTGTGATAAGCTACGCGATCAGGTCGGTCGGGTTGATGTTTCTACAAGTGAATTGTTTCAAGCATTTTTATTTTTTTCTCTGGCACAAGGACACATGAAACGCTTCAAGCCAACACGTGTTGTCCAACAAAATCGCGAACGTGTTGTGTTTGAACCGTCGTCCTTGTTTTGTAACATTTCACGTGTTTTTGCATTGTGTCGTGTTCTTGGTTTAGGCGTTTAACAGACGTTGCTGATGCTGTTGGTGCTTGCGTTTGCGTGTGTCAGCAGGTTGACTCTTTGCGTCAGGCGGGGAATTTGTCATGCTTGCCCGGGTCACTGGGAAAGGGGGCGGTGTTGGGTATCGGTGTATCGCGCGTACTCGGGGGTTGGCCCACCCCTCGTGCTCTCATTTTATGTACGGAGTACACAGAACTCAGCGAGCGGCATCTCGTTGGGCCGAGTTTTGCCCCCGCTAGGCCGTGTGCCGTGTGTTTGCTTGTGATACCTTCCAACACTTTTCTTTTCATCTCTGTACCAAATTTGTCGTTTCACTCGGGGAAAAGGCGCAACAGCGTCGCTGGATGTTCAGCGGCCGTTCTCTGTGATGGGAGACCCCCGCTCACCCCATCCTATCCTTTCTTTCGCGCCCCCCGCACACAGTTGAGCGAGTTTGAAGGCGGGGAAGTGCCCCCTCCAGGGGCGAAGAGGATAAAGTCTCTTGAGGCTCAGGTGGAGCGTCTGTCGGAGGAGAATATGCGACAGTCGGACAAGGCCAACAGCCTGGCGGCGCAGGTGCGCTGTTGTCATCATCGTAGCAGTAATGCTGTAGTGGAAGGGCAGCAGCGTAGCAGCAGCAGCAGCTAAGAGTTAGCCTCGGTGTCATGCACATCACTGCCGCACACGCACACGCGCACATGCTCAATTCGGAAGGCCGCACAAGAGAAATAGGGGACCACAAAATCCTCCTTGGGAAAACCCCGCGATACTATCGTGTGTGGCATGCATGGTAGCACAACAGACGGTAGGTGACAATGTAGAGATTCCGCGTGACGTGGTGTGTACCCCGCTATAGCATCGTGTGCGGCGGTATGTAGCCCGAAAGGCACATCACACGCCGTAGGTGGCCGCAAGTTCCACGCCCTTATCACTCTCTCTTGAGAAATATGATGTCGTGTTTGATCTCCTGTTCTGTACTAGTAGAAACCAAGGGGTTGTTGCATCCGATGCGCGCAGCAGTGGGTGTTTTATCTTGCGTCGAGCGGTAACCTAAACACCACGTGCCCCCCCCCCCCCTGTCCAGGTGGAACGCGAGAAGGAGGAGCTGAGCCAGCAGTTGATTTCGGCCAAGCTCCAGGTGGCGCAGCTGTACATGGAGGTGGACGGCCTCAAGCTGCAGCACCGGCAGGCCACCGCGGTGGCGGCCAGAGAGGCGCATGCGCTCGGGATGGACAGCGCCAGCGGGTCCCCCGCGACGCCGAAGTCGGCCCCGCCGTCCCCGGCCTCTCTTCACTCCAACGCTTCCCCCCGCTCCGCCCCGTCTTCCGCCTCCGCCTCCGGCGCGTCTCCTCATTCCCCCATGTCGCCCCACACGACGGAGTTGTGATTTTTTTTTTTTGCCGGGGAGGGGGGCGGGCACTTGTCCTTGTTTCCTCTCACCCCATAATTATCTGTGCTTGGAATTACTTGGTGGCGGGGGGGGGGGGGGGGGGNGGGGGGGGGGGGGGGGGGGGGGGGGGGGGGGGGGGGGTTCCACGGCGGAGTCGAAGAGCCGTGTTCGCTGTGGTTTCGTGCTCTCCTGTGGGCAGTTGTTGCATCCTAGAACTGCCTAGAAACGGGCGGATGAGTGGTAGGTTGGGGGGGGCACCCACGGACGGTATCACATTGCGACCCCGGGAGATAGCAAGGTTTACTTTTTTGTACCGACGGGGAGCACATTTGCTTGTTGCAGAAGTGCGCCCGGTGCAGCGGGGCGGTGGGGCGATCGGTCCCCTCTGCCGCTCGACTTAGTTCATGTGGGTTTATTCCTCCGCGCGTCGGACGGGAAATTGATGACGCGGTGGTTTACTTACATCGGTTTGGCGAAAGACAGTTCGTCATTGAGGTTGAGGTAGTCGGGGGGCCTGCAGGGAGGACAGTGCTGGCAATGCAGTGGCTGGGCAACGTGTTTGTCCTTCGCCACTCCTTCGCCCTGTGTTGTGATGCAGGACGGTTCCTCCGAAGGGGTGGGAATCGTTGGAACTCAGGTTGGGAGTTTCGGTGAAAATGACCAATAGCACACGGCTGTAGCGTGGATGTTCATACGTATGAGGGGCGGGGGTGCGTTAGATAAATCCTACAGCATGTATCTTCATCACCCTTCGAGCTCGCTGCGACGGGGTTGAGACAATTTTTGCAGTCGTGTCGATGTCGATGTGAAATGTTTTGAGTCTCCATCAGCCTCCACAGGCAAACACCAATATGCCAAGAAGTCTGTCAGGTTGGACGTTTGTTTTTCCCACGCCTTCCCGACGAGGAGAGGCCCTGACTTTTTTGTTGCTGATTTTTCTGTCTTTCTTTTTTTCAAGCCTTACGTACGCAAAATGGACACTCGTCTCCGCTCCAAGGCTGGTCGATGTGTGTAGCTCTGTCATCGCTGCGTGGATCAGGATTGAGCCTCGGTTAGTTTCTTGCTTGTTTGAAGTACTTGGAAGCATTTTCTTTTTCGTCGACTATGCGTCAGCACTCCGCCCACGCGACCAGCGGAGGTTTACGAGAACACGATGCATGACAGATAAACAGCAGTCTTTTTTCGGTGAGAACAGCAAGAAGGTAAGAAGGTAATGACTGACATCACACCGAATGTTGTGACTGAAACCGCTACTGCCGGAGAATGTCTATTTTGAAGTGCGCTTTCGTGAAATGATGCTGTATTCGTGACTTTCTAGACTAACAAAATGCCCACATGAACGCCGATGTTCCCGCCGTGGCGGAGCAGAGCGAGTCTCTACAAAGACAAGGGACAACAGCTTTTCGAAGTCGCACGCCTGCAACGACAACCGTCACTTCGAAAGACGTCGAATATCCGCCGAATATATTTATGTGTGAGATTCCACCGCATCCATGGGCAGACTCCCACCATCCTCCCCTCTGCCTCTCTCTTGAGGGCGGAAGGAGAGAGAGGGAAAGCGGGATTAAAGTGGGGCTCGGGGTTATCTCTTGGCTAACCCAAGCGTAGATGTGAGCATGATGACAACATGTAGAGAAGTGATCCCTGGTTTTGTGCCTGCATATGTGGGTGTATTTTGCCCATTCCACGTCACATACAATTGATGAAATTGTTCAACCATTTTATGCGGATCCTTCGCCCTCCTCAACACATGTGAACGAACGGACCAACTTTAAGGTTATTCGGTCTAACTTATTCCAGAATACAAAGCAGCAAATCCTTACTTCTCGAAAACTAGATTTGCTACTACTTTTTTTTTCGAAGGTCCCGGCTCTGTGTCGTCGCTGTAGATGCTTGTTTGTTATTGTCGTGTTCACATTAAAAACCGATCGGATCCGATGTACCACTTGGCGTGGTGACTGTGAAGACGGTCCTGTCTACAAACTTTCTCCTCCACTCGTGCTCAGATGTCGACACATCTGACGAATGAACCGGTGAGATGTGACTCCTCTGTTAGTTCCCGTCGGCGGCACGACTGCATCGATTGTCTGAATGAAAGCCACGTTCCCGACTCTCCTTGGTACGAAAATGCATTCCGGTCGTTTAATAATGGCTGTGTTCGTCCCTTGTCGATGCTGTTGCGGTGGGTCCTCCTCAGAGTTCGTTCCTTAAGGAATGAACACAACAATATTCCACCAAGCCAGTGAAAAGAGGGAATCGTCGTCGACGGACATTGGAGATTGTATCCTTCGTGAAGGTGACCTCCGCATAGGCAGCTTGGTTGCTAGGCAAGAAGTCTTCTTCGGGCAGTTGGAACCCTACCGGCTGGTGACGAGTCTATTCACTTCTTCGCACACTACGTGCGTGATTACACGTGTTCACAATGACCGCATCTCGACGCCAACATGAGAGGGGGGGGGGGG